GAAGATGGCTTGTCCAAGACAAGGGCCTGAACCTCGATACTTGTCCAGGACAAGGGCCTAAAAAAATATGAAAACCGAGGCAGCACACCAACCCTAGATAGCAAGATGCGGTGGAGTAAGAATAACAAATATCCACTCTTTACCTCTTTTTGATATAAAAATATTATAGAAAAAATTAAATCAAACACCCTCCCTTTGGCATAAATTTTCTATTATGGAAATATAGAAAATGAGGAAGTTATTATTACTTGAAAATTAAAAAAGAAAAAGAAATTAAAAGAAGTCTTCTATGAAACCTTGTGAGGAATCTGTTAAGGATAATTAATAAAATAAATTTGTACTTGAAAAAGATTCAAACCCCTTATTTTATTGTAGCCTAAATATTTAATTATGAAATTTTATAATAAGTAATTCAAAATATTAAGAAAGTGTATCATTTTTTAATTTACTTGAAAATAGAAAGGGAAAATATATAATGAGAACAATTTACCTTTGGTACAAGGTGGTCACAATTAATTTTGACCATTGGATGTGAAATTGGGTGGTTGCATTTATTTCATTGACTAAGCTCAAAGTTCAAAAGAAATTTTCTCGAATTTTGTAACAAACCCAAGCTATTAGATTTCACATCGGATGGTTGTATGTAATTGTTACCTCCCAGTAACAAAAGTAAATGGTCCCATTGTATACATTCTCAAATAGAAAACCAATAAAATTGAAAAATAGGTATTTGTGTTCTTCCTCAATGCAAGGAGACCTTCTTATAGATTTCCAAGTCCAAGTTTTTTAAAGAGAAAGAGAGGTACTAAAATATTCAATAGTCAACATATGTTCAAACAAAAAACATTATATCAATTTCACATAGTTTTGTAATATAATAAAAATTCATAATGCTAATATAATAAAAATTCATAATGCACTACCCCCATTTTTTATTGAAAACCCAAAAATACTTTATTTATAATGATTTTTAGCATTCTTTAAAAAAAGTTTATAGGCCTTACCCTGCCGATTCATCTATCCAAATAGCCAATCTGCTGATCCAAGTGGGTTTTCCTGATGGACGATCTAGATCATCGATCCATATTTTAAAAAACTGTATTACCCTGTAATTCAGAGGATGGCCCAAGGGAACGTTAGATTAAACACCCACTCATTTTCGCCCTATGTTAATTATTTGTATTGGGGTTTTGACCAAACCTAGCCTTATGGTTGGATCGTTGTTAGGTATAGTCTGATGAACCAAATACCTCAAAATTTGGTGGAGGGTCCCTCTTGGCTTATCTTGAGTACCCTAGATTTCATCTCATCCCAGGCCCATTTGAAGACCTATCAACTTTTTGGTTGGAGATTCTGCTTTTTTAGATCACCCATACTTGGTCTCTCCTGTTGTCCCTGCCTTCTATGGGCTTGTTGGGTAATGTCTAAGAAGTCCAATGCATATTGCTTGATTTTGTTCTCCTGTTGTCGGGAAGATGATGCCACTTTATCTTGTCCACTATTTCTAGACTAAGGTGATTCTAGTTTAGAATATTTTGTGTATCAAATTAGAGCCAAACACCTGAGTGAACCCGTTTTTGGTTCAACATCCTATCACTTCCTATGATAACATTATTGTTTCATTCGGGAAAAGGGCTGGTTTTAGCACCCCCACACCCTAATCCCCATGTTGTAGTTTTCATTTCCATTGACACCACCCCACCAACACCTTCAAAAAAGCAAACCACTAAAATTACCCAAAGAGAAGAAAAAAAAAAAAACAAGAACAATACTTGTTCTATGATGTGAAAATTACACAAGTGATTATGGCTATTCCTTCGATCCTATGAAATCGTGTCATGATAAAAAGTTAGTATGAATGAATCTAAGAATATCAGGGTGGACTGTGACATTGAAGAAGTAGAGAGGTTGGCTACTTGTTCAGTGTTTGAGGCTAATTTGTCCCATGTAAATCTTGTACCCTTTGAAGTGTAGGATCCGCTCTTCAGAGTGGAACCCTGTGGTAGAGAGATTTCCAAACAAATTTGATTCATGAAAAGGCAATACTTGTCTTTAGGAGGTCTCGATTAATCTCATATAATCAAACTTATCCAACATTCCCATCTACCATATGTTCTATCTTTAGAGTTCTAAACAGAATTGCTGATATGCTGGATAACATGACGAGGGATTTCCTGTAGGGAAGGCACAAAGGATGCACTTGGTATTGGAATTCAATTTGCACATTAAGCGATTGGGTCGTCTTGGCATTCACAGACTGAAGTTCATGAATGAGGCTTTGATCACTAAGAGGTGGTGGAGGATGGCTTCAGATTCTTCACAGTTGTGGGTTCAGGTGCTTCATGCAAAGCAAGGAGTGGAGAAAGTTGGAATTCTGGTTAAAACCCCTATATCTCTAATCAAAGCCTCTACGATATGGAAGAGCATTTTGATGTTTCTAAACCACTATTTTGTTAGATATACTAGGATGCTAGTGGGGGCTGGTGCTGCTACTGAATTTTCGTCCTATAAATGGATTGGAAACGCTCCTTTAAAAGTAGAATTGTCTGGGGTATATGGCAGAGCTGCAGATCCTAAGCAAGGCCCAATAGAATGGTGTTGGCTTTTGGTGAGAGGACCATTTCGGATATTGGCTAAGGTACAATAGAGTGGATGAGGTGGCAAGTGCAATTTGATTAGCTGCAGTCCGTGTTGGAGAATTTTTTTCAGTTATTGACCTTCGGAGCTCGCTCAATAGGATATATTCACAGTTGAATCACTATATAGACTGCTCTATAGTGACAGATCAGTGCGGGAAGATTGTATAGCAAATAATTCATGGACGTTGCTGGTTCCTCATAGAGTTTAGCAAATAATTTATGGAAGTTGCTGGTTCCTCATAGAGTTCAACGTTTCTCTTGGATTTCTTTAAGAAACAGGATAATCACTGTTGAACAACTTAGGAAGAGATGTGTAACAAACATTACTCTTTGTATTCTGTGTAAAGAAGTCGAGGAGACCATCAATCATTTGTTTTGCTTTCTTGAAAGTTATTTGGTCTTGGTTTCTTTCAAGTTCAAATTTGCAGTGAGTTTGGTCTCAAACTGAGGCAGCTATTTGCCCAATGGCTTTCTTAGGGCTGTGGTCCAGGGTAAGTAGGCGGTGTTCAGGGTTGTGGCTACCACCAAGGTGGTTGTTTTCATTGCTGAATGAATTGAAAGCTAGTGTCCAAAATAAGGAGGTTCTATCTTTGCATGCAAATAGAGTAGAATCAAGGAGCTGATGGAATGTTCGAAAAAATAAATAAATAAACAAACTGATAGGCTAGCACGGCTTGGGGTTCAGAGGGAATTGTTATTTGTTTATATATCGAGAATTGTTCTATCCAATTTTGTACATCCTGGTTTTGTACATCAGTTTTAACTTTGGATGCGGTTTGTAAAACGTGTCAACCTTAAAACACTTCAAGTAAGAAGCACCTCCATATCTTATTGAAAAATACAACTTTGGTGAAAATCTATTTTCATACCTAATTATAAAAATTTGAAACTCAAAAAATGATGCAGATTGATCAGATCTACAAACACTTGAAAATCTTTGTCAAAAACTCTAAAATTTACCCCACTTTATTCTTATCTCATTCATCTAAAGTAACCTTAAAGAAATTTTTCTAATAGAAACCCAAAATCTATGAAATCACGAGTTCTTATTTCAGTTCTTTCAGCCACCATTTTTTGTGACGCAATTTGTCATTCTTTGGATTTTACCCTCAGGTCCCCCACCAAATCAATTGGAGCTTATTTCAAAATGATCCATATCCCTACGATTATCAAGTTAAAAAAGATCCCAAAATTTACCATTTTCTAAAAGAGATGGTATATGCCATTCACATTATCTGAACACTCGAAAGGATGCACAAGCACACTTCAACGGTTCAAATTGAACCTCGCGCAATGGCACAAAAAGAGTTTCATATTTTACTTTTATTTTTATTTAAATGTCATTTATCCGAAATTTGGGTTATATATGAATTCTTCTATGTTGTATTAAATAATAATAATATATTTTGAATTAAAAATTGGCCATAATCCCCCTAAAATATTTTAAGGGTATTTTTGTTAAGTTCCTTATTTAAAATATTTATTTTATTTCATTTGGTGCTCTATGTAACAATTCATATGCATCCCGAATTCTAGATAAATAATCATTTTTTAATAAAATAAAATAATAACATAAAAACTTCTTTTGTTGCATGGATGTGGCACATTGATTCTAAACCATCCACATAATGTGTACAGGAGACTTCTCCTTTCCAACACCCACATGATGTGGGCAGGAGACTTTTCCTTTCCTTAAAATTTCAAATTTTTATGGGTTCGTTCAAAATGTAAACCAAATTTGAGGCAAAACAATGCTCCTAAATCTGGATCCACAATCCATTTTGGAGATATAGCCTGGATCCAAAATTCTTTACATCAATCATGAATCGAAAAAAATAATGAACTTGGAGCATCAAAATAGTGCAACTCACATATATCTTGGAAGTCCAGTTTAGATCCAAACCTCTAACATCAGTCAAGAATCTGAGAAAGAATGTATTTGGAACCATAAAAAATAGTGCACTACCATTTTTTAGTGGAACGAGGTAAAAAAGGATTAGCAATGACAGCAGATGAGTTTCAGGTCCTAAAACCATTGAAACCCATGTTCAGCAGATAACCAAAACATTGGCTTTAATAATTTCGAATCCAAAATGCATCTGCAAGTGCTACCTTCAAGTTTTGTTACTGAAGCCCTAGAAAAAATGCTTGGAAGTGGCAATGGAGGAGCAAAGGTCCTCTGACAAGGCAAGCCAGGTGGCGAGTCAACGGCCTTAAAGGGAGAAGAAGGTTCATCAAATATCTTCTGATTTGATGGGTCAATGACTCCTAATTTGAAAGTTCGATGACCATTCTCATCTGAGCAGCAGCCAAAAGATTCCATGCAACAGACATCTACAATTAAAATAGGGCAAATGGGCATGCATAAACTTGCTGATTATTTTTAGCCCAAATATGTTGTCTACATACTTCAACTATTTCATTGGGCATGTAACACCGTAGACTAGGCCCTTGGTGGTTCCAATCCAAGGCTATCTATCTATATGCTAAATAGCAGAATATAGTAGGGTCCTGCCATCTTCATATTATGCTACGCAAGAACAGTAAGCTTCCCACGCATGAGTTGGCTGAAATTCAAAATACAGTGTAAAAAGCTCTATGTAAAAACAGGCCAAAGCCAAAAGATTATAACAAGACAAAAAAACAAAGTAAAAAAAACGGAGAAACCCTACAACACTAACTAAAAACTCCACTAATATCACTATACTTCTTTCATGATAGACTATACCAACTGACCAGCCCGCACACTGAAAGATGGCTTCTAGCCAAATGTAAATTCATTTCGGTCTCTTCCCCAATGTCTTCTTCCTTTCCTCAAAACCCACAACTTCCGTTATTAAGATAAGACTTGATCGATCAATGCTTCCTCTACCCATTGCACTAAACTGAGCTTCAATCGATCTTCACTGAGGAGTAGATCTTGCGCACAAACCAGAAGCATGCATAGAAACCAATGGTCCCTGTCAACACAAAGAAGGCATATGACACTATCGTCATATACCCAAAGTAGAGGATCCCTGATACCAGTTTAGTGATCTCTAACTTAGTGAAGTAGTAGAAGATGGAGTAAAGGAAGAGGTAAAGAGCTGAGGAACCAGCTGTCAAATAAGCCCTCCACCACCAGTGATAGTCCTCGCTGCAAAGTTGGAAGTAGCAAAGCACGATTGTGATCTCAGCACAAGTAACCAAAAGTATCACAAATACAATGAAGAGGAACCCAAAGATATAGTAGAACTGATTCAGCCATATCGAGGTCAAGATGAAGAAGAGCTCGATAAAAACTGCACCAAATGGCAATATTCCGCCAATCAATATGGAGAAGACAGGCTGCATATACCAGGCTTGCTCAGGGATTTGCCTTGGGATTTTGTTGGTCTTAACAGGGTCCTCAATGGCTGGTTTTTTGAAGCCCAAGTAGCTTCCCACAAAGACCAAGGGCACTGATATGCCAAACCATAGAAAAACCAGGGCAAACATGGTGCCAAAAGGAACAGCTCCGGATGACTTCTCCCCCCAAATCAAAGCATTCAAGACAAAGAAAATAGAGAAGCAGATGGCAGGAAACATGAAGGCTGTTTTCAGTGTATTCTTCTTCCACTCTGTTCCTTTGAACATCTTGTAGAGCCTGGCCGATGTGTAGCCAGCAAATATGCCCATGAATACCCACAGTAAAACCATGGCGGTCATCAAACCACCTCGGTTTGAAGGGGAGAGAAAACCCAACAATGCGAATATCATGGTCACAAGAGTCATACAAAAGAACTGGACCCCAGTCCCCACATAAACACAGAGCAAGCCCGCGTTGATGGGCGGCCTGAAAACATCTCCATGCACAAGCTTCCAGCCAGTTTCTTCTTGGGCTTCATCTTGCGTTTCAAGCTGGTTGTAGTTGGCTATGTCCCTATAGAGTGTTCTCATCATGATCATGGCCACCATTCCCGAAAGGAAGAGAACAATCATCAAGGAGTTGATGATGGAGAACCAGTGGATCTGATCATCGCTCATGTGAAGGTATGTATCCCATCGAGAAGCCCATTTAATGTCGCTAGCCTGGAGAAGAGGAGAGCCAAATTGTAAGCACAAGCATAACACTGAAATAACAAAACAGTACATAAAGATAACAATGCACACAGTTTGCATAGATATCGTGACAAAAATGAGAAAGAAAATTCATACAACTGCTGATAACCAGAGAAAAGCCAATGTGAGAGAGGATTTCAATCAATACCTGGAAGGTAACATCATAAGTGAATATAACCTCTTTATCTGCCTCCACTTCCTGGGGCACATTGCTACTTTGGATGATGTTTTTGGTGCTTGGGTTACATGTAATCAAGCCCTTGCCATCCCAAGGCTGCTTATATTCATGATTCACACTGTTTGAAGATGAAGAAGGGATTACAGGACAAGCAAGATTAAGAGCCAGAAATTGAGTTTTAATAGCAGATCAATTTAAAAATGATGAGCAGATATCCATGTCTACAACAAAATAAATAAATAAATAAATAATAATAACGATGATGATAGTAATAAGAATGTATAATAATAGGTCTCAAACAGGTTGCAAGAAGAAGAAAATCTAACACAAATACATTGCATGTATTTATTCAAATTCATCAATAGAATAAAGATAACTAAGAAAAGATGTTATACGACATGGTACGATATTCTTGTCATCTCATCCTAAGTCAACACATATTTTACTTTAAAATTTTATCCCTTTCTTGTCTTCCAAGGATGTGACAGTAATGGGCCTAATGGCACACACTATACACCAAAACTCTACACCAAACAATGTAGATTAGTATATGTACATGGCATATTGAACTACTATATTTACAGATTTTCCATATTACTTTCTTTTCTTTTCCCCCCCAAACAACGCAGATTTTCATTTTCCATATTACTTTAGTTCCCAGACTTGATTTATGGTTGGCTTACATTCAAGTCCATTTGTCTTAAGTTGACTTAAAGTTTCGATAAGTCTATTTGGCAGGTAAAGAAACCAAGTCCAAATGCAATTGAATCAGTTTCTAAAAATTTATTTAGTCCATATGAGACTCATCCCCATCTTAAATTGACTTGGCCCACCTTGCCAAAGCCAATGTACATTTTTCCATGCGCAAGTCCCTTTTTTTTTTTCCTTAATGTTAAAAGTATGAAATAACCAAAGGCATTTGTCCTAACTGTGCACAACCCTCCTGCTGTCCCTCATTTCGAATTAACGTTTCTAATTCCTATATTTTGGACCCATTTTCAGAATTCTTGATAACTTTTTCCTAAACTTATTTCATGAGTATTCTTTATACCCAGGCCAATTTCTACATCTAAATTTTTTCTAAGTTGCCAATATAAATTCATTCCACAATTTGTTAAGTAGCCTCCGGAAAAAAACAGGAGGACAATTAATCAACCACATCAAAGCCAACAGATGTGCAGGCTCATTTTCAAGAAATAACTGAAATCAGTATCATCCCACATAGCTAATAGTGCTATAAAATAAGAGGAAAGATTACACTTGCATAACTATATAGGCATTATTTCTAACGTGTTTAGAGTGAAATACTAAAGAAACTTCAAACAAGTAGTATGGCAACGCACCTGTATGGGGTAACCTCGAAACCAACAATACGAGCAGAATCAGTCTCGACATCTATATGATACATGACTCTGAAATGCAGGTGGTTATTGATAAAGTACTTTTCTTCTATGCTCTGTATCAGGAGGAAGGGGTCAGATTTCGGCTGGACCAAAGACACCGACAGAAATCAAAATAAAGCCATTTCAACTCACCCCAGAATAGCTGGCTTTGAATCCAACACGGAAGCCATGCTCATAGGTCGAAGATTGACTTCCATCCCTCTTTTGAAGAAGAACTGCCACAGGAAGATTATCCAATATCCTGTACAACTCAACAGAAAAGCAGTTATAACCCCATCATAATGATCCCTCTGATGAGTTTTCTTGTGCAAATATCAAATTAGCTCATGGCTACAAATACAAACCTAGAAGATATAAATCATATGGAATTACTATTCAAGAGCAATTGAGGAAACATTAGGTACTCACATGTTTACCCGGTATTCATCATCAATTTTCTCCTTGAAGTTCTTTGTAGACTCGCGATCAAGCTTAATTATACAACCAATTTTGCATGATTCTAATTCTCTCATTCGAAACTATGAAAATGTTCACACATTTAGAACCAGCAAATGAAAAGGCAAAAAGCCAAACTTCACGTTTAAAGTAACATAAACCCAATAAGTGTATGATGAAGAAACAAGAGACTCACAGTATAAACAGAGTTCTCGATGCGGTCGCCTCGAAGGACCTCTCCCAAGTTCTCTGCGCTATTCATAATCTTATCAGGCTTGCAGTAATTCAGAAAATAGTAATCATATGGAAGTTGTGTCTTTGTTGACGATAGCTTGTTAACTTTTACTTGAAGAAGATCACCCTGCACCAGTAAAAGACATCCAAAATTAAGGAGACCAGCCTCGTCCGTCATATTTTAAATCCAGCAGCTGTGTCATTGACTACACTCAAAGTTCAAAAAATATTCTCAAACTTTGTGACTCAACTCAAGCCATCCAATTTGGCATCTAATGGCTAGAGGTGATTGTGATCTCCTTGTAACAATGGTAAACAGTCTCATAGTATACAATCCCAACACACACACGCACACATATATATAAATATATGTGTGTGTGTGGATGTATGTATACGTGTGTGTATAGCCATGTTGCCGAATCCTACTTTTTGAGGCACGAAGAATCAGACAGTGTGTGTACCCATATCCATGCGACATAAGCTAACAGGTTAAAACAAAGCACCCAACCAAAAGCATACAGACATTGATCTTTTAATTATGCCAATATCGCAAAGGTAAATGAATGACAAACTATTAATACAGATACAGAAGGAAGTCCTCATACTTCAACTGAAGCCCTAATTAACTTGTATCCCCAGATTAGAATTAAAAAGATAAATCTCCAGCGCACAAATATGCCTTATAATATTGAAAAATAATATTTGGTGAATTTCGTGGGAATTCCCAACCCCCCGTCCCCCCCTCCCAACCCCGGTAGGTACAGCGGCATTCTCATGGAACCTAAGCCCCATTTATAAGCAAAGTGGATGCTTATAACTTTATAAGTAAACTGGAACATTTCCTTCATCCAGTAATTCATCACATTTTATGTCTCCTTCGACCAGTAAACTCGACCTCCACCATCAAACAGTTTGAGTCCCATAAGTAGTACCTGAGCATCCACAGAAGTTACATCAGAGAAGTCAAATGGACCTGAAAAGTTTAGTATTTGACCTGTATGATCTCTTAAGGCCAATGTTAAAAAAACGGGGCAAGTGTATATATAGGCCAAAAAATGGGGCCGTATGTGTAAGAGGGAGACCTCTTGGAGGTCTCTTCTTCTTACATGTAAAGCGAGAGCATATAGGTCCATGTGGGTGTCTGTCTGTGTGTGTGTGTGAGAGAGAGAGGCCTCACATTGAACACTTGGAGGCCATCTTCTTTTTCTTCTTCTTTCCATATATATAGAGAGAGAGCACATGGGCCTGGAGCGAGAGAGAAGGGCCTTAAGCCTTTATAGGCCTTATTCCCCCCCTCTCCCCCCTCTTTTACACGGAATTAGGTGCTAAGTGTTTGCTAAAGGCACCCCCGATGCCAGCCATAGAAAGGTTCCCCAAAGAACAACGGTCAAAATTCACTTTGGAAGTTGCCAAAACGATGATTGTAATTAGATCATTTCGGTACACCAAATGATTTTTTCGAATTCTGGTGTACTCGGACATTTGGTTCCAATTCTGGCAGAGTGTGACCAAGAATAAGTGATTTCATAGCTTGTAAGAAGATTGTGGAAAGCAATCGGTCCATGAAAGAGTCAATGTTGCTTTCCTCACCCTCAAAGATCCCCTCCTATTTCTTTCTAGCCCAATGGAGATGAAAGCACTGATATGCCAAGCACAAGGCTGGTAGTTGGGAAAAGGGGGAAGAAAGCAGGAAGTGAATAGCAAAGCAAGCATGTCAGAGGTCGGCCAAAACCATCAAAAGAAATTTAGGATGAATAGAAGCCTCGTGGGACACACGAAGAGAAGAGGAATCGGTGGTCCATGCACATGGGTCCTCAATTCTGTAGTGGAATGCCTTGCCCCTGGCTATGATCTTGAGTTAGGGCCTTATTGGCTAAATCCAACGAGTTGACAGCTTGTACTTTTGGTGGAACATGGTAGAAAGAGGCCCTACGCAGGTGGTGCCAATCCTTCCACCCTTGGATTAGACATTTGCTAATGGAGGAGACAGAAAAGGACCTGGAGGTGGTAGGGCTCTGACCAATCCAATATCTGCCTGTTAAATAGCTTTGGAATTGAACCAGCAAAGAAGCTCGCTTGGTCATGCACTCACTGTCGTCAAGGTTTCACCTAAACCTTGATGTCCATAGTTTTACTTCCAAGAATTGACAGGATAGGATATTGTGGCCTCCTGGTTGGACGTCATATTGAATAGGCTCGGGAACAGGGCCTCCCAAAGGTGAGGGTACAGCCTCGGGTCCTTTAAAAAATGAACCCGGTGGCCCCTGTTTCTGCAGAGAATAGGATGAACTCTGGGAAGCGGCTAATAATGGATTTCCAAGCGCCAGAGCAGCTGGGTTGAGATTTAGGAGCCACTACTGATGATGACCAGCCACTTGCAAAGCAGGGCCATGTTACCATTTCTAAGGCCTCTTATACCCAAAGCCCCTGGATTTTGGGTAAGCATATCGTTTTCCCATTAACCAGGTGGAATACGTGTGATGCACTATCGCTATTCCATAATAAATTTGGGTTATGGAGCGCAAATGACAGAAAGCCACAGCTGGTCTATTTGTTGTGACGTAGCATCAGAAAAGACTGGAGTGTCATCTGCAAGTTGTAATAAGTGTTGGGCCCGTCCAAGAGGTGGCAAAGCCTTTAAGCATGACATGGTTGTGTAACTTGGTGGTGATCAAGCTGAAAATTTCAGCAATGATTGAGAAGAGGAGAGGAAGTCAACTTGGCGCATCCCACTAGAGGAGATAAGTAATCGTGGGGGCTGCCATTGATGAGAATGGAGAAATAGGCAGAGGCACCCAACCTGAGATCCACTTCTCACCAAAACACATGGGGGCCAGGATCTGGTCTGCACAAGCCATCCACGTGATCATAGGCCTTCTCGAAATCTAGTTTACAAATGAGGCACCAGCTTAACCAGCCAGAGTCTGGTATGAATGCATTCATGGAAAAAATATGCACCAAAGAAAACCCCCTCCCAGCCAGGGGAAATCAAGAATCAACCAATTTTGGTGAGAATAGGATTGATTAAATGGATCGTCCAAGTTTAGGCTGGCCCATTTAAAGGTATCTTAGAGAGGTTGTGTCGACATGAAAAAAATCTAAGAAACTGCTCATGCTTGCAGTGATGTGGCTTCCCCATTTGTTTTCATGTAACACTTAAATCTCCAAAACATAATTGTTGGAGGCAAGAGCGGGAAAATGCCAAACAGCCATAGGGTGGAAGCGCCTTGGGGTTAGGATCCGTGCCCATACATTCAACAAGATAAAGAGCTAGATCCTAGCATACCTAGGAACGAGATCCCATGCCACTGGGATCAAGGTTTTGACTTGGAGGGATCTAAGCTCCACTATATATAAAATGAGATAAATTAATGGTATATGATAAAATTAGGATCCAGCCAATGCCTGCTCAATCTATTATCATACACCTTAGCGAATTACCAATGTCATAGCTATTGTACTCCAATTTACGAACAACATAGTTCAATAATATCATAAATTGGCTTACTATGATATTAAACTGTAACTTTGTAATACTGTAATTCTAGTATACCACGATGTGACATGCACCACAATTTAACATATTCTAAAGAAATAAATCTATAATACCAAGGAGAAGACCAGCAGTTCAATTAATCGTACAACTCCTCTCCTTGAAGGGATCCTACAAGCATTTAGACTGAGATCCCATTTTATAGGGAGCGAGATCCCTATTTCTCTAAACCCAGCACCCTCTAAGATCCCTTAGAGGAATCACGAGATCGAGTTCCTAAGGTGGGACTGTGGCCTTATCCCCAAGGTTCCCTCAACTATGCTCCAAAACACCAAGGAAGGAGGTTTAGGTTTTGCGCTTGGTTTAATTCACTCCAGAAGTTGTCCCAATAGGGGGTATAGGTTTTGAATTTGCATTCGAGTTTGTATTCGGGATGAATTTGAATTTGGGTAAGTTGGTGCACTGTAGATGGGAGATTTTTGCAGGTGACGTGGAGGGCCGGTGCATCATGGTTGGCCTTTACTACATATAGTCGTTTCTTTGGAGCCCAGCTACATGCCAAGTCATTCTTGTCTTTCCAGCTATCCTGTCATTTTTGGGTGGTTGTTCCTCTGACCTTGGTTCTCTGCCAGACTACAAGCTACCACTCCGCGTGAGCAGGATCTTCTTCAAAAAATACAATTATACTATAATCGACATAGATATGAACCAAGAGAGACATAGAGAAAGAAAGAGGGAGAGACATTGTCTATCTCTTTCTCGCTGAGGATCTCACTCCCAATCTTGCTATACTATGCAATTTATGCTATAGAAAGGTATTATAAAATATATTATAATACAATACTATATTCTATGTTGTAAATACAGCATAACAATGCTATGTAGAATGTACTTTATACTATATACTACATTGTACTACTATATACCATACTCCTATACTTTAACATGCTAATATTAACTATATGTAAGCACACGCACAAGCACACACATGCACACATGCATGCATGCACAAACTCACACAAACACCCTGACTATGATGCTATAGAATCCGAATTCCAGGTAACTCAGGAACATGATTCCTAATAATGGGGAACACACACACACACACACAATGACGTTATAAAATCAGGATTCCAAGTAACTCGGGAACGTGAATCCTAACAATGGGGACAGAGATCCAAAAGTTAAAAATCAAGATCTCTTTAAGACCCCTCTCCTGGACCACTAGAGCGAGATTCCGGAGAGGAATCGCCACATTGGTTGGGCTATTAGTCAAGGGGAATTGAGTGGGTGATAAAAACCAAGTATGGTGTCCTTGCAGGCTTAGGTATAGGAGTGAATTGCGGAAAGAAGGGGAAAACTAAAGCGCTGCATGGAGCTGAGGCATGCCATCAATGATGAAATTGAGGGATCCATCACCATCCATCTATAATGGCTGGCAAGTTCTACAGCTTGTATATATAGGATAAGCCTTTCAATCTTCAAGTGAGATAGTCATATTTCACTTTTCCCTCTAACCAAGACAACCCAGTGCCGGTTTGCATCTAATAATTCTTGCGTTTGCTTGATTGATGGGAGATATTTTCTTATATTCTTCAGTTATTCCTCCTGAAGCTGACCTTTTAATCAATAATTCCCAATTAAGCCAATTATGCCCCGAAGGAAGTAATCCTTCTTCATTTATTTGATAAAAGGTTGCTCAAGCATCCAAAATTAAAGGATTCAGTCAAAAGTTAGATTCGTGAAATTAAAATGTTATAAGGAATATCCTGTAACCATAACAAGTCCACCCCACACACCATAAGGTATACCATTCAGCTCATTCCATAAACACCAATAATCAAAACATGATTCAACCATGGCACGAGCAAGTCTAATTATGTGCCAGCAGGTTCATTACAACAAAGGCTATAACACAATCAACAATTAAGAAAACCATACCACTCCTGCATTCACAAATTGTATTTCTATACGGCCAATAACAAGCTCTATCAAGAAATGAACACAAATATTTCATTTAGAAGATGGAAAAATAAAAAAGATTAAGAATCTGGAAGATTTGGCATATCTAAGTATGGGGAGCAATAAACATGAAGTTTCCAAGAATGGAAAGGTAATTTTAAATAGGGAACTAGTTATCAAAAAATAATAATAAAATATAACTAGGGAACTAATTCAATAAGAAATTTCAAAGAATTAGACATTAGTCACCTAGTATAATAGTTTGACACCCATAACTTATTATCTATTTTCACTGAACTTAAGTGATATACTTTTTTATTAAAAAAAAAAGCATCATTTGCACTGGAGAAATCATAAAGAGCATTTCCCCAATTTACCCAAATATGTCACAAGACATCCTTAATATCAACTTCCAGTGATCATGAAATAAGTATATAAGGCATTGATCAAGGATCAATAAATAATAATCTAATATTTGATTCATAACAAAGTTAAGAACTACAATATGGTACATTGATGCAGTATGCAACCGACCATCTATCAGCATCATTTGAAGTTCCAGATGCAGGTTTTCCACTTAGAACAGATGAAATAAAAGAAAAAACGTCGACAGAACAAAAAAAAAGGAAAATGCTGGTAAAAACAAGTAGAAAGTCTCATTCCCTTGAAAAAAATTCACTCTCATTCTCCAAAGAAAAGAAAAGGATTTAAAATCATAACAATAATTTGAAGATCCTCTTCATTCGATTCTCGCCCGAGAAAAAAAAAAAAAAGACAAATCATGCATCACATAACCCCTAATAAAAAAGTGAACACTCAAATCAAACATTCATCCAAGAAAAAAAAATCAGATTCAAACAAAATCACTTTTTCTTTTTGCGAACGCGAAACACAATCACACATTAACGAGAGAAAAGAGTGCAAATCTAGATCCCAGTCAAAAAAGCAGATAAGAAGCACAGACCTCAAAAGAAAATGAAAAAACCATACAAATCAATCCAAAACTGCAGATCCATAAAATCCCCACCAAAAATTGCATCCCAAACCCTAAATCACACCAGCAAATGAAGAGAGAAGAACGAGATCTTCAAATCCAACCATCCATCACAGAAAATGACAACTAATAACAGAGATCCACTTAGTTTCCGAATTCCTAACCAATTACAAACGTAAAACGCACAAGTGAGAAAAAAATACGTAGAGAGGGAGAGAGGGCCCTTGAAGCTCACCTTCTGAAAGTCTTGCGGGGCAACTCCAGGCAAGTAGAAGGAGTTGGCAGGAGATAATAAGAGAAGAGAGAAGAAGAGAAGCAAAAGTCGAGCACCCATTTCTGCTGCGCTCAGAGAGAGAGAGCGAGGAGAGAGAAGAGAGAGAGTGGCAGCTCTCACCAGAGGAGTGAGAATGGGGTAAGGGTATTTGTTTTATGTCGTTGCTGTTATTTTGGATCGTTTTTATCGAGGGTTTGGTGTCCGCGGCCAACATTGCTTCATTTGGGTGCTCAAAGCGAGTGATAGAGTGGGATGGTTGAGGAGAGAGGATGAGAAATCAAGTTCTCGTTGATGCGAGTAGGGGTGGCAACGGGTCAGGTATGGGTCGGGTCTGGCTTATCGCTAATAGGGGTGGCAATGGGTCGAATATGGTCGGATCCAGCATATTGCCAGTAGGGGTGGTTGGACCGGACTTGGACCCAAACCCATAGTATTCAGGTCCAGGTTTTGTATCCGGACTCGAGTCGCAGGTCCAAAAGTTAGACCCAAATTTGTACCTGTCGGGTCGCGGGTCTATCCTGTCATATCCTAGTCTAGTCAGGTCCATTGCCACCCTCCCTGCTTTTTTTTTCTTTTTTTTTACTATTATATACCCATATTATTATTGGCAACAAGATCACAACCGTCTGCCATTAGATTTCAAGACTTGTCGTTTAATAGCTAAAGATGACTACCGGTTCTTATTATATATGATCCTTAATACACCCAAATGAATAGGGCTTGAAGTATTTTATCTCCAATAGTTTACGGATATGGGTCAGGTCCAACCAAATCTGAACCCAAACCTGAATAGTGTTCGGGTCCAAGTTTTGGACCCACCCGTCTCGGGTATCTCGATGGGTCCTAGGTCAGGTCTAGGTCCATTGCCACCCCTAATTGTGAGAGATTTTATTTTATTTTTCCATTTAATTTAGTTTTAGCCGAAAGATATTTTACCGGTGGGAGTAGAATTTAAATCTATTCCCTCAAGTAAAACCCCATTTGAATTAATTTTAGGACTTTTTTGAAGATGTAACTTCTTAACCACAATAAAAATTAATTCTAATTGTACCCTTTATACATTTGAAAAAATAACATCTCGAGATCAAATAGAGACCATTTAATTTTTAGATTGTTAGATCAAATGATCAAAGTATTAAAAAAAGGATCCGGTTTTTATGCGGCCAACCCCGCATATATAGAAATGCAGGCCTATTTTTTAGATGAATTTTAAGACTTATTTTTTAAAGACATGTAATCTCTAACATGGAGATCATGGAATATGAAAAAATAAATAAATTTTAAAAACTAAAAAAACATTTGGACCGATAGTTTTCATTATTTTTTAGATAGAACACCTACTTGCATCCACCTTTAAGATGGATGCTTTACACTTTCTGGACCGCATATGTAGAAATGTGGTCCAGCCTCCATGATACAATTTTCTATTAGAAAACTCAAATTTCAACTCTTTTTTTTTTGAATAATCATTTAATAGTTCTTTAATAGTGCCCAAATTTTATAATGAAAAAATCTCCCAATACTTTTTGACCGAAGGAGTAAAAATAAATTATGCTCCCGAAAAAGCAAATCACATGTGCTCTTGTTTTTAAATAACGGTGCGAGAGACTTGGTAAGAGAGCGTTTTTATCGATTTAATTATTTATAAATAACATCATATATAGAAATAAATGCGTGAGAGACCTGTGCATGCGAGAGAAAGCTTGAACCTTAATCTCTCATTCATTCGCATGTTATGGCTGAGGCTTCATTACATGTAAAAGGACAGCCGTATCTTCTAAGAAAATGTAATTATCATGCCGGAGATCCTATTGTAGGATGAAGATTAATTTTTTTAAAAAATGTTTGGGTAAGTTTTTCTTTTTTAGTTTGGGTTGGGGGAGGGGGGCATATTTAGCTCGTGTAAAAATATTTTTTAGGAAATATTTTCATTTGAAAAGATTCCCTTATGTAGTTAGGTACAGAAATGTTTTCACGCCAATTAACTACATATTAGTGTAAAATGATGCAATGGGATCCGTTGGTGTAAAAATATTCCCATACGTAACAACATAAGAGAAGTCTTTCACGTGAAAATATTTCTGTTGTAAATATTTTCACGTGAAACAACCATGCCCTTCATGTTAGGGTTTGGTTTGTATAAGCTGCCAACCATTGTTTTTTTGTAGAATTTTATACGGTATTAACCTTAAACAATCAATGAGGTGCAGTCTAAACCATCCTGAAATTTGCAGTATAGAAAGCTCGTGTTTGGCTTGAAAATCTATTATTGTCCATGAATATAAAATCTAAAGCTCTAAAAATGTGCAAATTGAAAAATCTTCAAACAATTGAAAATCTTGAAAATAGGCAGTTTAGATAATACATTATGAAATGCACTATATTCATGGCTTAAAATCGTTTTTGTTTGTTTATATCTAGATATCTCTAGGTTGAGACGATCAATTGAATGGTTTTCTAGCATAAGAGCAAATTTTTTATGTTAGGTTTTTGGGGAACACCTTACTTCTAGTATAGAGTTGACACCTTATATAAGCTTTTTCTTTGTTTTAAGACCCCATGTTTGTCCAAAATGGTCACATTTCTAACTTGGAAGCTCCAAAATGATGTCTTTAGATTGTGAAATTCATATATTGCCTTTGGACCTTGGAGATCTAAAGTTTAGTTTAAATAATTGATCTCGGATCTTGAAGATCCGACATCAAGAAATTTGTTACAACTTCGATCCTTCAAAGTACAAAGTCAAAACTTTTATATCTTATCTTTTGGACCATTTTTTTTTGGACAATAATAATTAACTTTATTAATCATTGAAAATTACAAAAATTCATATAAGAAAATCATCTAATACCACTGGAGAAATTTACCCCCCTTTTGGCCAAAGCATCTGCAATATCATTGGCATATCTGTAAACATGTTGAAACGAGAGCTTCAAATCCAATAGAAATACCCAAAACTTCGGCCCATACTTATAGCAACGTCCAAGGCAGTGTACTCCACTTATTGCGCCAATTAATTGCATTAAGTGTATCTCCTTCCACTATATAACAACCCCCAATATTCTTTTACTTCAATAATTTTAGTCCTTGCAATAAAGCACATAACTCCACCATGCTTAATATAGAGAAATTACAAGGGTCAGCAAAAACGAACAAAATCTGTCCATCTGAATTTCTCGCTAGCCCACCAATACCTACCAATACCAAATTTTCTAATGACTTTCCATCAAAGTTTAGTTTGATGCAAACAAGAGTGATTAAATTAATTGAGAGATATATGCATAACTTTATTTGGGGGACGGTGGATGATAATCATAAGAAATATCATTTGGTTGGTTAAGATAAGATTTACACATTGGTAAAAATGGGTGAGATGTGTTGGGTTTCTGTGGCCATTAAAGGCCTTATGAGAGCATGTAACTAACATTCTGATATAGTGAAACAAACTCAATGGGAGTGTGGTTCTTAATGGACTATTATAAGCAAATGTTATTTGCCGTTGCTCAGACTTGGCTTGACGTGCTAGGTCAGTTCAAATGGAAAGCCCATGGTGCCTAGGCATGGAGCTAAACTGATGAGGGTTTTGTAAGTCACCCCTTGATGAGGCCGAAGTTGTCCAGATGAGTGAGCCGATGAACTATGTGATAATTGGGTGTGATAGTTGACCTTTAAAAACTAGAGCTAAAGCCTCGTCACTGAACCATCACATGACATGTACATATGATAGCTGTATAGGGAAAATGAGCTACCTTTTAAGGAGAAATGTGTATACGTGCGAGAGATTATCCTTATGCACCATAGAGCGATGGTTGCATCAGGTCTAGGTGACATTGGTTTGTCTTTATGGAAGAACCTGTAATCCTTGCCTATTGGCTGACTTTGGTGACTAAATTAGGAGCCCTTGCAATGGTCTGTGGGTCATAGGAACGGCTGAGACAGTTTGATAAAGCAAGTGTGCATTATAGTACACAGTAGAAGGTGGAGTGCTCCAACAATTTTATAATTTCTAAACCTTGTTGGAACATATTTCCATAAAAAATATTTGGTTTTAATTATTTTGATGATATATGATTTTTAGATTGATTATTTGAATTTTTACGAATCTATGGATGTTTTTTTTTTTAAAAATGGATTTATAAATCTGAAGATAATTTTTTTTTGCATTTAAATATTCAGAGGAACATAAAGATTATTTTCAATATTCTAAAAATCATTTTAACAATTTTATAATTCATAAATATTTTAGAGGGCCCATGGAAGCCTATCAAGTCCACCATCATGATGTGTGTGGGGCCCACAAAAGGACAACCAAACAAGAACAAATTTATAGAAAGTGTTGTGCAAAGATTTTGATTGAAAAAGGAAAAGAAAGTTTTGAAAATTAGGAGATTTGATTTTCAAGTTAAAGTATGTGTGAGAAGATTATGAAAAATAAGATAAAGTATCATATTACGAATTAATGGTTCATATCTCTTACCCCACTGGTCTTCTATGATCAATGGTCTAGATCAAATCTTACTAAGGATGACTAATCCTAAGGAAACCCTAACCCTAGAAAAAAGTCTATAAATAAGGGCCAAATCTTTATATTTTCTCTACATCTCTCATATTTCTCTCTTTATTTTTCTCTCTCTCTCTCTCTCTCTCTCTCTCTCTCTCTTTTCTATCTACTGATCTCTCTCTACCTCTCTAACCTCTCTAAGATAGAGCTATATTCGAGAAAAGAAAAGAGGGCCATGCCCCAAGCTTAAGTATTGAGACTTAGTCCATCAAACTAGTATTGAGACTTAGCACATAGTTCCACTATTGCTCTTTGATTTAGCTAAGGGTTGTAACCAAGGCTTTCTCATTGTTTGAATATTTTAAATAGACCATTGATTCCTGTGTCATTAGAGGAGGAGATCCAGAGTGGGGTGTATTAAGCCCGGTTGAAGTAATATCCGACATCTTTCTTTTATGCTTTCTAGTGATCTCTTATTCCTATGATTATTATGTGTTTCATGATCTCAAGATCAAGTATATGCAATTTTATTTGTGTAATAAAAGCGTTGTTAAAGTGACAAGAAGTGAGAGTCCTTGGGATTATTTGAGTTTTTATTTATTTATGATAATGTATTTGGATATCTGTAAGTAATCCAAGAATTGAAAATAAATAAAAGAAAGAAACTTTTTAATCGGTGTACACTTGCCTGAGTTAATCCAACTTTTAAGCTGGG